ACACGAGGAGCCCTAAATTAATTTTCCTTTTTCTTTCTAGATCTCTCAGCTGACAATGAACATTTAGGGCTTCTCTTGTAAGTTCTGTAACTTTGCAAAGAAAGGTCGTGGATAGCTGGAAAACGTCTCATTTTTGTGCAAAATCTTCAGGCTATAATTCCAACATGTTGATAAAACATTGTTAGGGTTTCAGGAGGTTTCTAGAAAACCAGTTCTCCAAAGAAACGCTAGGAAAGGTCTATGGGCACAAACAGCTATCATATTCGTAATCAGCGCCCTTGCTTACATATAAATTGCCAGGTTTGAACAAAATCGGAGTGCCTCACTTGGGAATGTTCCCTCGTTAGTGGTTATAAACTGAGCGATTCAATTGATCTGACTATGCACGTCTGTATGTGCAAGATCAGTTAACAAATGTATATCTCACGTTCCATCTACCTTGTGCCTTTTCCATAGCATCGATGAGCTTGAACTGGAAGTCTTTTATACTGCCTTTTAATTAGTTTGTCAATAAGTTCAACAGCATGTGCAACCTAAACAAAATTATTTATAATTTATTTTAGTGTACTACAGCTAATTCTTCTCTCGCTTACTTGTTTTGAATTCCCTTTTACAAAAACCTAAAACCAAACTATATAAAATTCATTGTAAAACATTTATTTATAGAAACACTTTCTTACTGGACGTTCCGAGGCTGAAAATTCTCCACCAACATATACTTTAGCACCAGACTGTTGACAAATACTTTGAATTCTCATAGCTCTCACTCCTAAAATAAATATCAATCAAATTAGATAATCACAAAATGCCTATATTTACTCTAAAAAAATAGTGTCACATTATATGTGGATGTGTCCCAAACAGTTCTTCATGTCGCACAAAAAAAATAATGTTTCGCAAAACTTTCCCGACACATTTTTCCGCTAGACTCTGCGACACATTATTTTTTTGTGCGACATGAAGAGCTGTTTGCGACCCATCCACATATAATGTGACACTATTTTTTTTTTAGATTGTTTACCTATAAGA